TGTTGTACTTCAAGATGGATCTAGAAATTACTTTTTTTACTATGAAGGCAACCCCATTTTTCCTTGTCTTTTCATCTCCAGAGTAATATATCATATGGTCATCTGACTCAAAATGCCCCATACATCTTGTTCTAGATTGTTAATTTTCATACATATAATGTCTAATCATACATTCCTTTCAGATAGTCCTTTCCTTTAGCTATTCCAGTGCAGAGTTTATTATCTATCCATTCTTTTCCTATTCACCCCAAGGGCCATCCTATTTTATAACAGCAATCTTGTATGATTTTTTTCTTGATTTTTAATCCAGGCACTATTCTTTTGCTATGTTCAGAGAACTCAACATCAAGAAAACAAAAATTCTCACCGGTGGGCCAATTGACAGCATCATTATTGATAGTGAAGGGATTGAGATTGTTAACAGTTTTAGTTTGCTTGGCTCCAAAATCAACACTCTTGGTACAAGAGATGAATTGCATTGGGAAAGTCAGCTGTCAGGTACCTCTCCAGAGTACTGAAGAGCAAGGACATCAGTCTGGAGACTAAGGTGCATCTGATCCAGGCTATAGTCTTTGTAATTGCTTGCTATGTGTCAGAGAGCTGGACAATGACTAGGGATGATAGAAAGAGAATTGATGCCTTTGAGCTGTGGTGCTGGAGATGTGTGTTGAATATAACATGGACTACTAGGAGAACAAACAGGTTTGTCCTGGAGAGGGTGAAATCAGGTTGCTCCTTGGAGGCAAGGATTCTGAAGCTTCCTCTGACATACTTTGGACATGTTAAAAGGAGGGACCAGTCCTTGGAGACAGACATCATGCTTGGGAGGGTGGCGGGACAGCGCAAGAGAGGAAGACCCTTGATGAGATGGACTGATTCAGTCACTAGGTTAATGCGGGTAGCTGTGTCAGAAACAATAAAGTTGGCACAGGATAGAGCGGGTTTAGGATTCTTGTACATACGTCACTATAAGTCTCAAGTGACTCAATGGCGCAAAACAATAGCAATGTTCAGAAAATTGCCTCTTGAGAGAAATTAACTTGAAGGAACAAACTATAAGTCAAATAGACATGAGTTTGAGTCCCTCGTTTATTCTTTATATTTTGTGTCTACATTACATAACCTATCTGTTTCTTCTTTCTAAAATGGGGATAATAAGACAAACTACATCATAGGTGTTTTAAGCACTAAGTAATAATACAGTGTTTCACTAGCAATGATATATTATTGTTTTAATTATTGAATTTTTCCTTGCGTAAAGGACTCACACTTTTATAATTTGAAGGTATTTTCTCATTTGTTTACTAGGATTTCTTAACAAAGTTTAGAATAAAATTTAAAAATATCCTTGGCATATATTTACATATCACATTACACTACTTAAATTTTATAAAGGATATTCTCGGGAGAGAAAAAAAAATGAAACTGTAAAGCTATTGCAAGACCTACCCCCACCAGTTGAGTTATTTTATTCCTAAGCTTACTTTATGGCATCTATTTACGTCCTATCTAATTAATTTTAATTTGTATAAGGACAGAATGTAAAAAAGCAGGTCCTAGCAGGAAACCCTCAAAATAGAAAATTTGAAAAGTATTTAAATAAGGCACTGTATATTAAAAACTGTGATAGGATAAGGTTTCTTTAACCAATAAAAATAATTCTTAAAATTCACAAAGATACCAGAATCTAGAAATAGCTTCTGGCCATTTGTTTTAACCACCCTTTTCCTAACATGGCAAAAGGAGGGAGTAACTGTCTATAAAAGAACCTCCTTACCCTGTTGTTATTATTCTTGGTATTTACCATCGAGTAGGAATCCAAACTAGTAATGGCCTTTAAGAAAGACATGCATCCATCTCTCAACATCCTATCAGGAAAGGTACCAGGGGAACACCATCTGGTACTGACGCCTCCCTCATTCTTTCATTTCTGCTGATGCTTTGCATTGACCACGTCCAAGAGGAAACAGACAATAAAGAAACTCACTTACGCCCATAACCAGGCCCAGAGCAGGTTAGAGTAAAATGGTGAGATCAAGGGTAGGAGAAATGGAAGACATCTAGTACACATTCTACAACTCAAGGCACTTCTATTTTGTGTTGTGTAAAGAATGGCCAGACAAAATATGTAACACTCGCTTAAATTTCAAATTCAGATAAATGATAAATATTCTTTTGAATATCTCAAGCAGTATTTGGGAAATATTTAAAGCATACAGAGATCTAATGGTAAGTGTTATCCACTTCCTAAACAACATGCCTCTGGAAACCGTATGAACTTTAATAAATGACCATAGTTATAGAAAGGCTTCAGGCCTTTTGCTCATAGGTTGCTATGGGTCATGCTCGACTCGATGGCAATCAACAACAACTGCTAACCTAAAAGTGGCACCTGTCTGCGTGTTTGCATTAACCCAAGAAAAATGGGTAAACTCCCATGTGATTTATAGCCTCCAAAAACCTGCTGCAGAGTCAAAGAATCAGTTCCAACTCAACAACATTGATCGTGAGTTTTCAGTAAACAAAAGTATATCCCAACCAATACTGAGGACATGTTTATACTAAAATAGGGAGCAGCCACTGGTGACTTACCCCAAGGATTGCAATGCAGACTCGAAGGCCAGGCTTCTCTGGCAGTTCAAATTTACCAGTGGTTTTGCTGCAGAACAATGGCCAATCTCCTCACACACAATTTAAATGAGAAACCTAAGGAAGTGTCTTCTGTGAGTCGCTGTGAGTTGGTGCTGATTTGACAATGAGAAAGAAGTTGTCCTGTGCTGTGGAGGTGGAACACACCCATAGCTGACCCTCCTGAAGTTTTTCAGAGGAAGTTATTCTCAAAGGCAGAGACTGACCATCCTTCTCCCACTGAGCAGCTGGTGGATTTGAACTGTGTGCTTTCCGGATTGCAGCACAGTTTCTTGCCACTAACCCACGAAAGCAGAAAGTACACTTAAAAAAAAATTATTCATCACTATTTGAAATTCAAAAAGTCTTGGTGGAGTAAGTAGTGCTTTACAAGTAATGCTGGTAACTTAAAGGCTGGTAGTTTAAATCCACCAAAGTGCACAGTAGGAAAAAGATGGTCAGTCTCTGCTTGTAAAGACGTACAACTTTGGTAACCCAATATAGAGTGGCCACGAATTAGAATCAACTTGACTCTACGGGTTTGGTTTTTTCCTTTTGTTTGGGTATCTGAAATGCATATTTACCAGAGCATTTTTGTATTTTACTTGCTAAATCCAGCATCCCTAAGTATGCAGAATAATCTAAGTCATAAGCTTCTCTCAAAAGAATTTGGAAACTGACTACATTTAATTTTCAGGCAACAGGACCTGCATACTCAAGAGCTTTTCACTCAAACAGATCTATTCTCTAACTTTCATTATTACGAGTTTCTCTCCAAGGAAAGAAAACTTTTGATCTATGTTTTGCTTACCTCTGGTAAACTTGTAATGCTGTTCCTGATTAGAAGCAGCTTCTCGAGCTTCTTCAAAAACTTTATCTCTTCAGGTATGTGAGTGAGCTGATTGTGGTTAAGCTGAAGTTCACGAAGATTCTCAAGGAAACAAAGTTCTTCAGGAACGCTGGCTAGCTGGTTGTAATTTATACTCAGATGTGTAAGACTGTGTAATCTAAAAACCAAAGCATATGCATGAAACACAAAACTGAATCTGTTGTGCAGAGATCCCACTTATCAGAAGTGATGTGTTGATTTACGTTTTTAAATTCATCTCAATCTTAAGTCAATTGTCACTGTTACTACAAGCGATCACATAGACAAAAATTCAAGCTTTAGAGTTTGTTTTAAAGTTTTTTTCATGATCAAAGACTACTTTTAAAACAAAGAAAAATTTTAAAAAATAAAGAAAATTTTATTTACAGGTGTGCTTTCATTAGTTTCCTTTGAGTTGACTCCAACTTATTGACTACATAGACAATAGAACAAACCACCACCCATCTCTTGCCATCCTCATAACCTCTGCTGTGCTTAATTAAGCCCCTTGCTATAATCACTGTGTGAGTATAGTTCATCAAGGGTGTTCCTAATTTTTTCAGTGACTCATTAGTTTAACTAGTGTCTTTACCTTTATCTATGCCTATTATTCTCTCCAGCATCAAACACTTGTGAGTACCACTTATTTGTGGTGATACATGAAATAACAAATCAGCCACAAATTCTACCCTTATACATATCACAGTCTGCACGAGATATTAAACACAGTCATAAAATGAAAGCAGAAAACACTGCCGCTCACTTGATCATTGGCATCAAGTCAAAACCAACACATAGCTGACCTGCTAGGGAATTTCCAAAGTTATCCATATTTCTCACAAAAATTCCATAAGTAAGGAGAAAAAAAAATATTAAGGATGTTAGAGTGTGTAATTGCAGAGATGATAGAAGAAAATTTTAGAAGTGCATTGAAAGCTTTTTTAAAAAACTGAGCTTTTTAAGCATAATCTTTTTTTTAAGCATAATCTTAATAATGGAACTTCTAAAATTAGGCAACACAGATATTTGTGTTGACTGATTTGTAATATGTAATAGACTATCAGTCCACATACTCTGAACACAAATTGGAATTAACTAACTATGAAATAGCTAATTATATTTTTTAAATAAACATCAACTGTACACATGGCCCTCACCTGAGGAACTACTCAAGTAGTTGACTACATCCATGGCAAGAATCCATACCACAGCTCTGATCTACATTCTTGCAATCCTACTTTTCCTGGGCAATTTTTTTATTCTTATTTTTCCTAATATTATCAGAAAACAGGACACCTTAGATTATATTGTTCCTTAAATAAGGTATTTTGGACTCCAAAGAAAGAAACAAGATTACTAAACTGTGAAATCATAACATGATATAGCTATAAAGACTCCGGAGTTCATAAACTTAAAATTCTTCCTTTTAATATGAGGAAGCGGAAGCCCAAAGCCATTAAACTACTTGTACAAGGTCACAAAATTAGGGAGCTATGGTGGCATAGTGGCAAAAGCTGCCCTGAATCCCAAAGGCAGATGGTTCAAATTCACCAGATACTCTGCTGGAGAAGGAGGGACAATCTCCTCTTGTGCCAGTTGGATCCTATTGGATAGTACATAAAACAACAACAACAATAAAAAAAAAATAAAAAATTTTAAAAAAAACCCAACACCACTCTAAAGGGCCCCTTTGGCAGTAGGAAACACATAGACTATTACGGAGACTGATTTTGGAGTTTAGATGCACTCTTATTGATTGTGCTTGGCCATACATGTTCATATCCTTGAAGATGTATCATGGGGGTGTTGCAACCTAGAAGACACAAATTTGACTAACAAGTTATAAGTACATGAGTCAAAAATT